ATGTTAGGGAAATGAACCCTAAGATATGTATTCTAATGTTTTTTTTCTTTCATGTGATTGTTTCTAACACATAAGATTATTTCTTTGTTGCTTTGTATGTCCCTCCCCCACGGTATAACCCCTGCTTTCATTGTATTTCATGTTGGTATAATTTGTGGAGGGGAAGGGAAAAAACAAATCGTTTAACTAGGGATACAGGTGGACCCATTGCAACAATGAGATGTGCAAGTTGTTATGTCAAAAAACGAACTTTACAACTTTGGTGGGGGGTGGGAGGAGGATCCGGTGGGGGAGTATGGGAACAGATGGGAAGGGGAAACAAAGAGGAGGCAACAATGCTTGATAAGAAATGTACTCGTTATCTTGCCCATGTAATTGTAACTCATCTGTACGGTATTCTCACAATAAATAAAGACAGAAAGAAGGAAAGAAAGAAGGAAAGAAAGAAAGAAGAAAGGAAGGAAAGGAGGAAGGAAGGAAGGAAGGAAGGTAGAAGGAAGAAGGAAGGAAGGAAGAAAAGAAAGAAAGATAAAAAAAAGAAAACAAAAAAATCCCCAAAGACCCTCAGCACATTGCTACTTCAGAACCAGCTACTGTTATGGTCAGTGGCCTGAGGTCCATCTGCACCTGGGCCAGCACCCAGCAGTGCCACGATCCCCTGCCGCAAGCTGAGGGCCCCTTGAACTCTTCAGCAGGACAGCTGCTCTACTGTGTCTTTGCATGGAAGCTACAAAGGCTCCTGGATGAGCCCAGCGGCCTTACAAACCACAGCAGGCGTCTCCACTCCACCCACACTGCCACACTCCCTCCGAAAAGGAATCCTGGGACTTCTGTGCCTCCTCTTCCTGACAGAGGAGTGACTCCTTAGACCAGCAAGAAGAGACACCGATTCTCCCCTTCTCCCACAGCCAATGAAGAGCTCTACTCTGTGTGCTCCCCCCAGTTCTCCAATGTATTTGGGTGTTTCCCTGGGACTTTGACACTTGTTGACCCCGAGGAAGAAAGCAAAGGATGCCCACGATCAGTGGGACCTGGTCCAGACCACAGTTCATAAAGCCCTCGGCATTGGAGAGGAGCGATGGTCAGGATGCAAAGAAGGGAAACACCTGCTGTGAAGGAGTCCGGAAGTGGACAGCTAACTCTACACATCAGCTAGTTTGGCTTACTTTGTGCACTTCTGAGGATCAGGTCTGGTGCCACGAGCACTCGACCAAGGCTTGGTTTCTGAGTCATATCTCCCAGTCCAATGGGGATAAATTGTACCTCAACCCAGCCATGATGCTGTCAGAACATTGAGACTATTTCAGCAGAGAGGCTGCAGGTGATTAAAATTTCCTGCCAGCGATTTGGCCTCAGATATATAAATCCCAATATAAAAGCATGAGAAGTATGAAAAAGCAAGGAAGCATGTCTCCCCGAAAGTTAACAACGACACAATGAAGGACTTGAGATAATGAAGTAGATGAAATTTCAGACAATGAGATCAAAGGAGCAACGATAAGAATTGTCCATGAAATTTATGTAATGTACCTGAATGAATTCAAAGAGGATACAAAAAAAACAGCTAAATGAACTCAAAGTGAATTCCAATAAATTTCTCAATGAAACAAGGAAGACAATACAGAGTAGGGAGGAAAAAGTAAATGAAAATATAGAAACCTTGGGGGGAAAAACATGGCTATTTTAGAAGTGAAAATCTCAGTAACTCAAAAATTCATTTGATGGACTTATTAATAAAATGTGTGCCAGTGGCTCACTCCTGTAATCCTGGCTACACAAGAGGCTAAGATTGCAGCTCAAAGTCAGTAAGAAACTCCTATTTCCAACTCACCATCAAAAAGCCAGAAGTGGCACAAGTGTCAAGGCATTAGCCTTGAGTTAAAAAGCTTGGTGAAAGCATTTAGGTTTGGGGTTCAAGTTCCAGTTCTCTCTCTCTCTCTCTCTCTCTCTTCTCTCTCTCTCTCTCTCTCTCTCTCTCTCTCTCTCTCTCTCTCTCTCTCTCTCTCTCTCTTTCTCTCTCTCTCTCTCTCTCACACACACACCTGAATGGAGCAAGCTCTAAGTAAAGTACTAGGAAAGATAAAGTTCAGGACCTAGAGAGGAGAGGAAACTAGACGAGAGCAAAGAGATGAGGGAAAATGGTAGAGAACAAAGGAAAAGGTGACAATGATCAAGACGAACTGTACTTATAACCTAATTGATGGAATTGTAAGCTTTCTGTACAACTACATAGTAATAAATAATCTCACACTGTGATCATATAGGATTCACCCCAAAGATGTAAGTCTGTTTCAACATATATAAATGATAGATATAAAATAACATATCAACAAAAATGAGTGCAAAACATGCATTTCAGTAGCTTTAGAAAAAATATTCAATAAGATTCAACATCTTTTCACAGTAAAAACATAAAATTGAGGTGAAAAGAAATGATATTGTAACCCCTCTGTATGTACAGTATTTTCACAATAAAAAAAAGAAAATACCTAGAAAAAAGAATGATATCTCAAAATAATACGGCTTACAAATGAAAAATTCAGCCAGTATGTTAGATATGTTACATATGTATGTATATGTATATAACAGGCAATCCATCTTTCATATACACATATATTCATGTGTATTTAAACAGATGGATTGATAAGTAAATGGATAAAATCTAAGACATGCTCCAATTTTGTGCTCATGAGTAATACTGATCTCTTATGATTGAGATAAGTCTATATTTTTCATATTTCTATATAATTTAAACTTTCAGTAACACACATAATAATTGTTTGGTAAAAAGACAGGCAAGGGATTTTTTAATATTAAATCTTTTCCATGGTAAACACTTTTCTAAGACCTCTTATAGACACTCGGGAAGTAAATACTAACAATAAATTAACAAAGAAAAAAAAAGAATAAAAAACCAGATTGAGCCTCTTGTACCATGATGATTTGGTGAATTGGGCACATTTCCAGCTTTGAGTTATTGTTAGAAACCAAAATGTAGAAACACTATGATTTTGCATTCAGTTTTTGACTAGCCATTATTATTGTGCAGATTGCTTAAACAGTGCAGCCACGCATATTTAATCACTTCATACCAAACTTAATTCTAGGGAGTGATAAGTAATCAGGATAACAGAAAAAAATGGGTTATCCTAAAATAACCACAACATATTATTAGATGTCAAATGAAATTTCAATGCATTTTTATAGGAAATAGAACTAAACTCTGATGGATGCGAGTTGCCTTACGATACTGTATCTTGCATTCTTTCAAAAGCATCTGGTTTTAAGTGTAAATAGTAGAACAGATATTGAGGAATTTCATCATTTTCAAGCCAACTCTGATAAAACATACCCAAGGGACCATGTTGATATTGTGGAAACAATTAATCTGTTCATAAAAGGAGGAACTGGTTCTGCAGTGTAAAAGTTCTGGCTTGCTGAGCATTTGATCAATTTTCAGCTTGTCTACTGGTCACTTACCATTAGATAAAATTAGACTTGGCTGCATGAATATCTTTCACTTACATTTTTATTAATATCTGAGGACAGAGCAATAAGCCATCCTCATCCCTCCTTGTCATACTTCCTTATTGTCCTAAAAATGAGGTAGTGTACAATCATCATTGGCATAAGTCTCTGTTCTGGGTCTGAATTTATATTTAGGAGAAGCTATAAGAGTGATGATTACAGGGCTGGGAAGGTGGCTCAGTGGTAGAGCGCTTGCCTTGCATGCATGAGGCCCTGGGTTCGATTCCTCAGCACCACATAAGCAGAAAAAGGCAGAAGTGGCACTGAGGCTCAAGTGGTAGAGCACTAGCCTTGAGCTGAAGAGTTGAAAGATAGCACCCAGGCCCAGAGTTCATAAAAAAAAAAAGAGAGAGAGAGAGAGTGGTGATTACTTTACCTGAAGTCCAGAAACTTTTACTTCCTGAGAACTCAGTGAGAAGTATGTCATGCCAACGAATAGATATCAGAAGTATACACATCAACAGCATTTCTGTTATCCAATTGCCACTGGCATGAAGTTGAGTCAGAGTTGAGTCCTTTGTTGTTTTCTTTTACTCTCTTTTCAGCCAAAAAAATTCTAGCAACTGCTGAGGATTCTCAGTTCAACCTAAGATCTAAAAATCTGGTTCCATTTTTTCCCCCTCTCATCTCTCATCAAAGCTAACAAAGATATTGCCACTGGACTTCAACTATAGCAGTACAGATGACTAAGCTAAACTCTATTGGTTTGCAGTGTTAGCAATAGCCAAAATATAGTGGTTGATGCCATCCCCCCTACCCCAGTGAAAATACCCTCATTGTCTTTATAGTCTTAGAGAACAGAAATCTGTTGATTAAGAATCTTTGGAGGCACAGTAATGGAAGTGACTATAGACCAAAGGAAAGTTGAAAGTTAAATTTTTCTTTCTGACCTTATATAATGTCCCCTTGTCCAAGAATCATCTTTAAATATCAGTATCTAATATGAGACAAAGAGATTTTAAAGAATATGTAAGCCATTGACTGGTCCCATCCAGTGGATATTAATGGCAGATGAAGAATTACTCATCCAACTAGATAGATAGCTAGGTAGATGATAGATAGATAGCTCCATAAATTTCAAAATACTTAAAACATGTTAATTGAGGTTTTTGATTAATATCTCTATAATATATATGATAATCATGTATTCTTTATAATACAAGTATATATGTTCTTTATAGGATCTGACACATATAAAATTCATAATGTGTAAATTTATCATCTTACTTTATAAATATGTAGCATAAAGAATATCTTATCTGTAAAAATGAAGTATAATCATTGTTTCCCATTCTTCCTCATGAAGGCCACTTGGCATTGCATCATGAATAGAAAGAATGAGCAGAATGGGAAGAGAGCACTGCGTTCTCCACACACTTCTTTTAATTCTCCTTTTTTCAGTGCTGGCACACATGGACAGCGAATGAAAGCCCATGATGAGTGAACTAATTCGCCATTTCCTTCCTCTCTAGGGGCTGACGTCATCAACTTCGACGGCCACGTGGTGTTGCCCTATCGGTTCAGAAACAAGAAAATGAAAACGCTGAAAGATGTCATCTCCTTGAAATTTAAAACTTCCGAGGGCGAAGGGGTGATCCTGCATGGGGAAGGCCAGCAAGGAGACTACATCACTCTGGAACTGAAGAAAGCCAAGCTGGTCCTCAGTCTAAACCTAGGTGCGTTGTGACTCTCATTGTTTCTATTTGGAAAACACTGCTTCATTCCTTAAAATGTGAATTAGGAAAGTTCACATGATATTGAAATTCTTTCTTAATCCATAGCTGTCCGGAGATATTGACATATCTGTTTGACTTTGTCAATTTTCCATCATTAGGACCAAATAGCTCAGAAAACAATATTTGTGCACTTGCAGTATGATACTGGTACAATACAAAGTCTTATACTACACAGTGGCGTACACCAGAGAACAAATGAGGTCTTTAAACTTAGGAAGTTTAGGATCTAATGCAGGAGTGAAGCAATGTGTGGCCTATCATTATTAAGAACAATGAAATAACAAGGCTTATAAATTGGTAAATATAATAGGTTTAATGCCCTCTTACAAGGCAATGGCCCCAGCATATGTCCAGTGGGGAAAATCCTCTTGAAGGAGACAACACTCCATCCAAATTGAGACATAATGAAATGTCCACTGGAGACAGAAAAAGAAGTGACTCATGGGAGTTATTGTTTATCTGTTTTTAATTGTTCTTAAGAGGTTAACACCAATGCATGTTTGGGTGCACATAAAATAGATAAGATTCACTCAAAGAGCAAGGAAATCTATCTATCTATCTATCTATCTATCTATCTATCTATCTATCTATCTATCTATCTATCTATCTATCTATCTATATCACTAGAACTAGTATTAGAAACTACAAAGCATCAGCTCAGTGCCAATGATGACTTAATCAGGTAGTCAGAAGGCTGAGAGTTGGAGGATCATGGTTGAAAGCCAGTCAGGAAAAAAATGTCCTGGAGACTCTTATCTCCAATGAACCTACAAATTGCTGGACTTGAGGTGTGGGTCAACTGATAGGGCACCATCTAAGAGAAACCAGTCTGAGACAGAGTGTGAGGCCCTAAGTTCAAGCTCCAATACCAGTATCAATAATAATAATAATAATAAATCAACCAGAGATCATGAAAAATGATGACAATCTCATTCTCTTCCTTGGATAAAAATTCTAGGCTCTATGAAAGGATATTTTGTCCCAAATATTTTCTGCTGTGATGAAATAAGAATTCTCCATTTGTACTTAAAAATACAAAACTAAAATGCACGTCCATATATGCCTGCTTATAGGAAGCTACAAAGTGATCTTGTCTATAAAACTACCTTATGAATTATCAATATGGATGCCCAAACATTACTGGGTGAAGCTTAGACTCTATATAGTACTTTTATTACTTTGAAAGTCTAGCATTAAACTATAAGGCAACTTCAGTTAAGTTTTATTTATGCACAGAAGCATCATCCTACATATATATGCTTAGCTATACAACTTTCCATCCTCAACATCTAAGCTGGATAAATAAATAAGCTTCCATCAGGAAAAAAATTTTTAAAGGAAAGAAATGAAAAGCATACAAAAATCTATATCACATAATTACACAAAAATATTGAATTTTTTAGTGTTAAAAATATCAAAACACCAAAATGCACATGAAAGCTGGGAAAATCCAAATGTCAAATATGGAATTTTAATGTTATTCATGAATAATAGATCCTGCCAACTCCATAGCAATACCAAGATGCTAAGAGAAAATGTAAGTACAGAATAGAAATGATAACTCACAAGAGGGAAAAAAGGCATTCAACACACACTGAATACTTAGCTAGACTAGCTATAAAAGAAATGAATAAGAAAATGAAAAAATATTAACTTCTGTCAAGTAGGTAAACATGCTTAAAATCGTATCAGCGATGTTGTGTATATGAAAGAAGAATCTCCTTTAGCTGTTCTACCACAAAGAAGATATTTTCTGAAAAGCATTTGACAATATATCTTAAGACACTTTAAAATAGGTCCAATCCAAATATAATAAAGGGAAATGAGAAATTACTCCCAGAGGATGGAAGTCCAATGATGCAGTTCCACAGTATTGCTTACAATGTCAAAAATTGGGAAAGTTAAATGTAAAGAAAGACAGCAAGTTTACAAATAGTTGTTTCATTCTATAAGCATAAAGAGGATTTTTTTTATAATTCTTCTTGTAAAATATTATCATTCCTTTTGTAGTTGGAAAGAAAAAGTTGAATATATAGACCTTTGTTGAAAGCAGTTAACATGTTTTTGAATACTTTTATTGTCTTTAAGTACTTGTAAAAGGGAGTTGCCATTCCACAAATTATTAGGATGTGTATTGAACTTTTTTTTTCTTTTGCCGGTCATGGATCCTGAACTCTGGGCCTGAGTGCTGTCTCTCAGCTCTTCAGTTCAAGGCTGGCGCTCTACCACTTGAGCCACAGCACTGCCTCCTACTTTTTCTGCTTATGTGGTTCTGAGGAACCGAACCCAAGACCTAATGCATGCGAGGCAAGCACTCTACCACTGAGCCACCTTCCCAGCCCTGTATTGAACTTTTTTTTTTGCCATTTAACAAAGCAGTTTATGTACACAGTACATCTTGATCGGTGTCATCCCTTCATCCCCTTCCACCCACCTCTTCCCTTATTTTTCGCATTTCTGTGGTACATGTGCTGTGTTCTTGTTTTACATTCTCTACCCATCCCCCTTTCATTCTCTACCCCTCTCCCCTTGGCCACACCTTTTTAAAGTACCTGTTTCCTGGTACTTCTTATATTGGCTTTGACTTGATCTTTGTAAAGGATTATACTATTTGAGCTCTCCGTAGAGTATATTATTCTTCAGTTAATTATCATTTGTAACCTCTTACTTATCACACAATGTGTTTACTTGTAGATTTATAGGACATTCTAGTTACCACAAACAAAGGAAACCATGAAACCTGTGTTTCTCGGCATCTGGCTTATTTCACTTAGTATAATTTTTTTCCAAGTCTTTCCATTTCTTATGAATGGTACAATATCATTCTTTCTGATGCATGAGTAGCATATGTGTGTGTAGATATCTATCTATCTATCTACCTATCTATCTATTTTCTTGATCCATTTGTCCATTGAGGGACATATAGGCTGATTCCATCTCTTGGCTACCGTGATTGAGCAGATAGTGCTGGTATTGCCCTGTCTCCGGTCCTCCATCTTGGATGTTGCTCCCTAAGTTTTAATTATATAGGGAAATACTATATAATATTAAATTAAAACTATAAGATATAAAACATAAATAAAATAAAATGATACCAATAATTGGAAGTACACTATATATAATATTCTTATATGTACAAAACACATAATACAATTAAATATATGTATATGAAAAAATTGGGAAAAAATAAGCAATCTAACTGGACACCAATGACTTACCCCTGTAATACTTGATACTCATAAAGTTAAGACCTAGAATATTTTGGTTCAAAGCCAGCCTAAGCAGCAAAGTCTGTGAGATTCCATCTCCAACTAACTACATAAATGGCAGAATGGAAGCATGGTTTAGTTGGTAAAGCTCCAACTATGAGCAAGAAAATCAAGGAATCCCTGAATTCATGCCAAGACCAGCAAAAAATAAGTTAAAAAAGAACATCAAAAATCATAGTTCAGACAATTTTGAGAGATAGAAATATGTTTGCATTTTCTTTTACTGCCAATCTTCTTGTTTTATCTTTGCTGATTATTTGTATATCCCTGTCATGATGAACATGTTCATTTGGGTGACCTGGCAAGATAGTTTGAAATTCTTTTTAAAACTAGACACAATGAGCCAGGTACTGGTGGCTCATGTCTATAATCCTAGCTACTCGGGAGGCTGAGATCTGGGGATTGCCATCTGAAGGAAAGTCAGACTCATGCCTCCAATTAACCAGCAAAAAATAAAAATAAAAGAGAGAGAGAGAAATGGAGCTGTGACTCAAAGTGGGTAGAGCACTATCCTTGAGCAAGACAGAAGGATTATGGGGAGCAAACTGGCACCAAAGTATGTGTCTAAACTATGTGTCTACATGTATGTGTGACTATGCATAAACAATTGCTGGATTATGTCCAAAGACATTTATTTCTATAGACCTTTCTCCATTTTTCCCCCTACAAACGAAACATGCAGAGTAACCTTTGAAAACCAATTCTGGTTGATAGAGGTGTGACATTCACTTTCTAAAATAAGTAACTTGTCCTATGACCTCACAAAGAACAGTCCATTACCTTTTCACTGGAAAGCGCTTTGCTTCCAGCGTTGTATTGACTCCCTGGGTTGCATGACAGGGAAGACAAGCATTTCCCTCAAGTGTCATGTTTCACATGATTCCTGCAACATCATGCAGGTCTCTGCTGTTCAGCATGTAAATTGAGCTCTAAAACAGTAATGTGCTATAGATTTATTCCCCCTTTTTTCTCGATTCCTGCCTCATTTCACACACACACACACACACACACACACACACACACACACACACGCACGCACAATCACCATCACACATCAGCATTAGATTTCTTTGTCTAAGTGAAAAGAATTTTGCTCATGCACCTCACTGTGTATGTGAGGAAAGATAGGCACCATCCACTTCCCCCAGGTTGAACCTCAAGGTCGGAACGCAGAGCCTCCACCTTCACAACTGCTCTGTGATGCTGAATTCACAGCCTCTGCCTTCACAACTGCTCTGTGATGCTGAATGCATATGGGCCTCACCAACGGTGAGCAGAGTTCACGGTACTGTCCGAAACACTGAAAAGTGCTTGCTTTTTTCAAGGGGGCACACTTTATTTTGTTTCTTGTGTTCTTGGAGATGGACTCTTGCTCTTTAGCCTAGGCAGAGCCTGGAACGCTCAATTCTTTGGCTTCCATATGGCTTAATCATAATACTAAAAACTAATTAATAATGAATATGTCCCGAATAAATAAATTCAGATGCCTCCGTGTTGGTCTGACACCAGAGACCACCGAGTCCAGCTAGGGGAAGAGACATTCAAATTTTCCATTTCGAATAACTTGTATGTAGCTGGAACATAAAACGTTTTTGAATACAGGTATGACAGATTCTCCTAGACTCACCTCCGTGGGTAGATCTGTGCCAGGAAATCCACCACTGGGCATTGTGGAAGGGAAAATCTCCCACGAGGCGAGTGGACTGCGTAGTCACTGGGCTGTTTCTCCTTCGCTCCCATGCCTCAGGAAGCAACCAGCTGGGCCCCATCTATGGGCACACATCCGTCATGGCCGGAAGTCTGCTGGACGACAACCACTGGCACTGTGTGGTGGTTGAGCGCCAAGGACGCAGCATTAACCTCACCCTGGACAGGAGCCTGCAGCACTTCCGCACCAATGGAGAGTTTGACTACCTGGACTTGGATTATGAGGTACATGAGAGGGGGTGTTGGAAGCAGAGCAAGGAATCCACCTGAGGCTGCTCTGTTGCAAATCGTGCCTATTTAAACACTCCTAGCATCCTCCAGGATGGCCATTTTGCAGTCCAGGTCTTTCTGTAATGACCTCTGGGGGCAATCAACATTCAAACCATAACAACTGGTAATCAACCATCCTTTTGGTTCCTCCTCGGCGTGTGCAGGGCGCTGGAGACAGAATGATGTTTACCACAAAATATTGAACAAGAAATCGTCATTTCTGGTTTATCTTGTCCTTTTCTAACTCCATGGCTGTAGATGAGCCTTTGACTCTATTCTCTTTCCTGAGAAATAATTGTCGTGAAGTAAATGGGGTGAAACATACCATAGTTTAGAGATTGTGTATCAAGACATACTTTATCTTCCAAACAAGAAAAGATTAAAAGATAAAAATCAATGTTCATCATGTTTCAAATACATGTACATATATATGTAAGATATATGAATATCTATATGTAAACATGCTAGTAGGCCTTTTAGGTTCTTTTTCAATAAATTATTTGGGTAACAATTCAAGCATTATACATCCGTCAAAACCATCAGTCAGTCATATGTACAGATAAAAGTTCTTATTAGAATATTACATAAAAAAGGTAACACTAAATATACAATATTAGAAATCGCTCTAGATTATAAAGGATAAAATATTATTTAGCTGAAGTTTTTCAAACTTTCTTAGCCCATGGAGCTGGGAGTCTTACTAATTTTTCTATAGCAGTTCTAGGTTAGTGAGTCTGAATAACCTCATCATCAGGCCCTAATAACTGGTAGCCATTTGAAAATGCACAAATACATTCTCATCTCCTACTCAAATAGCAGTAAATACTTGCTAATGGGATGAGTATGCTTGTACTCAGATTTTGGAATCCAATTTAATAGAACTCTTCTCTCTATTGCTGTGTTTCATGCTATTATAGTAGGCTCTCTTTTTATCAGACAACAAGATGTTCTACTTCACAAAGATCCCAAGTTATAGGAAAGTGTTATCCAACATCAGACAAGTACACCCCTCAGGGTGGTGTTTTTCACTGTGCATGCACATAATGCTTTACCATGTTCAACTTTACTGTGGCCCCTCTACAAGTGTTCTGTGCCAGCTTGTCTTCCTTGTTACCCAGGCTGACATTATAGATACATATCCTTATATTTATGTATGTTTTGTGTCATGTTTTTAAATGTGGACTATGTTCATCATAAGGCAAAACATGAGATAAAGTCAGAATTTTCACTGCAATTTAAAATTTTTCTTCGTATGTTCAAAGAGCCTGTAAATTTTGTAGGGTCTGAATATTTCATATACACTACAAAATATGGAGTTAGTATGGACAAGGATTACATAAACCCTGATTGTGACTTAATTAACATCAAGCAAATTAAAGGTTATTGGCAAATAATTAAACCCCCATATATTTTCAGCACAAAATGATTATTGAAAGGGAAAGAGGTCAGAAATCACAGCAATCTTGAGCTCCTCTAAATTAGTGTAACTCTTGGCTCCTGTGAATTGTCTGCCAATGCACAGAGAACTTGAAGATGAATTATTCATCCTCCATTAAGGAACTCTCACGTGTGGTAGAAGAGGTGAGCAACTCTGAAACATTAGCAATGGGCAAACACAATTCAAATTAAAATAAAAAAGAAGACAGAATTAAAAAGCTGGGGTCATAGACCCTACTGCGTTCGTGATGCATCCTATGAATATTCATACACACATAGCACTGTCCATACGTGGCTGATGGTTTCATGGGCACTTTAAAACCCGTCTATACAAAACACTTTGGGAACCTCAGCTGTAGACTAAAATGCGTGAGAGAGAGACACTTAGGAGGAATTTGTTTGCTTTGAAAGAATTGAGATAGACTTACATATTTCTCTTTGCAAAGCAACAGCCTGGTCTTATTCCGTCCAGAGAGAGCAGTCATTGGTATGGGTTATAAGAGTCAAGTCAGTGTATGTTTATATCTCTACATTATAAATGCATATCATACATACATACATACATACATACCACATACATATATAAAGTGCTTATTGTTGCATGAAATCCAGAGATTCTGTTAGCCAGTCTCTCAGTTTCATTCACATTTCGTATTTGTATGCTTGGAGCTACTAGCTACATATCTCATAGGCCTCATGAAAATCAGCTCAAATCTAAAATAACCCAAACCATATAAATCATATGGCATTCCTATTGAAGTCTTAAGTCTCGCCTCAGGGATAACGAACCCAGTCTTCTTATTTTCACCATGCTGTGTTGGTTCCCTGAAGTCAGGCTGCTTCAGGGTGTGGAAGCTGACGGCAGAGGTGTGCTAGGCCTTTCTCCCAGCCAGTTATCTCTGGGGTGGAAGGGGAGAATGCACTGGTGTTCATGATTTAAATACAGCATGATTAATTTCATGCTATGAACTTGGAAGGAGCTGGAAGAGGAGTCAGCACCACGTGGCCAATGTTTCCATTATCGGGACACAATAGATGTACACATTAGATGTACACAACCTTCAGAGCACACAGGGAAGTTAAGTGTGGACATGAACTCATGTGTCACGTTAACGTTTCTGTGTAATGTCATTTAAGCTTTACATAATTTGATTTTTTAATAACAACTTGGTATAAAATCAGTCCTGACCTGAGGTGAGCACGATCTGGCTCTGCCTAGGTCACAGGAGATTATAGAAGATGGATATCAGGAAGAGAGGCATGATGCACATCTTCACACCTTTGATATCATCCAACATGGAATTCTTCCCTGTAGGCATGTTCTGGTATCAGTCTATCTGTCCTTTGGTGCAATGCTATTTTATACCATTATCTTTTGTAATACTCCTTTGCTTGGGAAGGAGGGAATAACTAACTCTCTGTCTATCATAAAACCAAACACTGGCTACAGACTACAAAGAATTCCAATCACATAAGTGCAAATAGAATTGGAAGGCTGAGTTTGGATCCATTTCTGACCCTTACCAGCAGATTGAAAGTGGGTAACTCATATTCCTCCAGTCCAATAAGAAATACACCAGTGTATTTCTCCTTTGGTTGTATGAGGACACAATGCATATGTCCTAACTCCTATGTAAACATATACATGTATATGCTCCATGTATCAAATGCACATTTCCTCTCAGTTCAAACTCCCGGCCCAGGCAGTGCTAGATCCCAGTGGCGGCTCCTGGCAGTCCCTTTGTTCTGCTCTGGCATGCTCTCATGCTGCTGGGCATCACACTCTAAGAAGGCAGCTCACATGCCAACTGCTTTCCAGCCCGCTGAAAGGAAGACAGACGGAAGAAGCGTGTCCCCTCCCCACTTTATGACAGCTCTTGAGATCACATACAGCCCTTCCAATTAAACACGATGAGACAAAAGTAGCTCCCAAGAGGTTGATAAATGTGTGTGGCCTGTCCTGGGCTGGAATGCATTGTGTTTCTCTGAAGAAGGTGGAGCGGGTGCAGTCTTAGAGGCATCTAGAGGTCTCCGTCAGACTTTCCAGCTAATAAAATGGTGAACACGATGTTATTTATAAGACTTTATACAAGATGGATGAACTTGGTTTTAACCTAACACATACTTTAAAAAATATGATCGGAACAAGTAGAATACCCCAAGAGATTTTTCTAGTTCAACCACCTTATCTTACTGCTGAAAATTTATATCTAGAAATAGGACAGGACAAAATATTCCATGATAATTTACAAAAGGAACTGGGATGAGAACTCATCTGATGGTTGCAATCAGCTCACTTGAGTCTCTCATGCTGCAGCAAGGCACCTGCATAGATTTTTTTTTTTTTTATCACTACCAGTTCTGGGAAAAAAATGATAAAAGAAATTGCAAATAGGAAATGCATCACTCCATGTTACCACCACTATGTCTTACCATTGGTGTAAGAAGTCCTTAACATCTGAGCATGGGTACTACCCAAAGAAGCCAGCTTAGGTCTACCACGTGAGAGACTCCTCCTGTCCTGTTGTTTTGGGGGTTATTTTTGAGAGTCTCATGTAATTCTCTACCCAGGCTGGCCTCAAACTCAATCTTATGGTCACAGCCTCCTGAGTAGCTAGGATTACAGCTGTGAGCCACCAGGCCCAGCTCAATCTTTTCTTATATGTTTTTATTTTCTCAGTTTTCTTCTTTCTTTCTCATGTATGAACTCCATGTAACATGAAATATACTCAACTAAGCATGATTAACATTAATTAATTTTAAGGGAAGCCTTTAAAACATACTGCATCATAAACTAACATTAATTAGTCTTTTTCCTTAAAACCAATGAAGCATTTTAAAATGCCAGGGCTCCAAATAATGGTAAATAATTTATATATGAATACTCCTAGAACAAAAAACATTTTTTACCTTTACAATATACTGGCTTTTACAAATGTCTTAACTATGGCTTTTTTTTTACTTAAAAATAAAACAACTTATACTGATGACATAAAAAAAACAAACAAACAAAGTAGCAGGGCTCCATTGGCTCACGCCTGTAATCCTAGCTGAGATCTGAGGATCTCTTGCCAGTCCAGGCAAGAAAGCCCATGAGCCTCTTATCTCCAATAAACCACCAAAAAAGTGGCATTGTCACTCAAAGTGGTAGAGCACTTGAGCAAGCCTTGAGCAAAAGCTCAAAAATACCATCCGGGCACGGAGTTCAAGCCCCATGGCTGACAAAAGACAAACAAACCAAATAAACGAAGGAAAAACAGAATCTGGATTATATGTATTTGGATTGCAGATGTGATTGCAAGTTAATATATGAATACAGTGTAGTAGTAAATGCTCCTGGCACTGTAGATAACTACTAAGTGTTATTGTGTACTCTGCAAATTGAATACTGCAATGGTACACATTGACAAAAGAGGCATGGAAAATGCACAGCTCTTCTAAGAAATAATACCTAAAGGGACAAAGAAATGCATAATGACTTGAAAAACCTCTAATATCTCTGAGTCTATATTGCTCTACTTATAACCCTTATATCCAAAGAAGTCCCTAATCATTATAGTAATGATATTTTTGAGGTTTTTCTGTACTCAAAATAAGTCTAATGAACTTTTGGCTCTGCCAATCATTGGACTATAGTATGTCTATGAAGAATAAACCAATAATATTCCTTGCTCTAAGCTGCAGTTTTATCCACATATGATATTAGTGCTAGTTTTCTTGAGATTACAAACCATATTTATTGATATTGTGTCACTGAATGATAACCATGAAGAATAACAATGTCATATTACTTGGTAAAAGAAATTTTCTGGAAAAAATCATTTAAAATATTCTTAGGAAAATTTATCAAATGCTTTAAATTGACAAAGATGCAAGGGGTGTTTGCTATGTTATAGTTTAAGCTGTAACCTAATTACTAGAATGAATGATTGTGTATGCACTTTAACAACAACATAATGCAATACGCAAAGATTTTTGGAACACTACATGGCTGTATATTTTGATTGAGATAAGATACCTGACTTTGTATGTAGTCATAATTTTTCTTCTGTGGATATTTATATTGATTTCTTTTTTTCCTCAAAGATAACATTTGGAGGTGTACCTTTCTCTGGCAAGCCAAGTTCAAGTAGTAGAAAGAATTTCAAAGGTTGCATGGAGAGTATTAACTACAATGGAATCAATATTACTGACCTTGCCAGACGGAAGAAATTAGAGCCATCAAATGTGGTAAGAATTTGATTCTTCAGCGCAATACTGGTCTATTAAGAATTCCAAGGGCCTTTTGTTTTTATGGGATATTGAACAAGAAGTACCAAATCACCACATTTTTATCTTGTTTGTCCTGGGTTCCAGAATGTAAAACACATTGTATAGTTATCTGACATTTGTGGAGGTATATAGAAGAATAGGATAATTGCTTTGATATGAGACAAAACTGACATGAGAGATATAGCAGGTTTTCCTTAGCTGGCCCACAGAATATTACATTCTGTGTTCATGATTTCAGCATATATCGCACCCTGGCAAATCAACACTATTATTCTTATCAACTGTCTAATTGCATTTGCTTGTGTTTTTTATTTATGAAACCAAGTGCTTCATGATATTCAACTTTTAAGCCTTCAAAGATAAGATTTTATTCAAGTATGTAAATGAATGGCCTCTTTCAAAAACGTGAATGATGCTAAATAGTATACCAGGCAACAAAATTTGACTGCCGTGCCATTAAAAAAAAATCATGCAACAAAAAGCTCAAGGTGGTTTTCTTCTGGCTCTTGGATGAGTTGGTCCCACTAATTTTAGGGAAAAAAGGAAAACTTAGAAAATATGTCAACATTCTTGCTATCCCAGTGAACTGCTGAGGATCTCTCAATCATGTTAACTTAAGCTGGGGGCTGGGGGCTGGGGGCTCACACCTGTAATCTTAGCTGCCCAGGAGGCTGAGATCTGAGACTGAGGATCACAGTTTGAAGCCAGCCAGGGCAGGAAAATCTGTGAGGTTCTTATGGCCAATAAATCACCAAAAACCTGAAAAAAACCTGACAGTGGAGCTGTGGTTTGAATGGTAGAATGCTAGCATTGAGTAATAAAGTTCAGGGAGAGAGCATTCATGCCCTGAGTTCAATTCCAGAGAACTAATAGCTATTTCCAAACAGCAATGTAATGTTTCAACAGTGTATGAGATATGAGATTCTGGAGAGCAATACACTTGAGGGAGACACATTGAAATAAATACATCATGAGTATTTCAGTATTTATCCTGGGCTTTAAAACAATTCAGATGGCCTTATCTCCCCCAAAGTTGGGCCTCAGATTAAAAATAACCCGAATATTGTTGGATAAATGGATATGGATTGATAAGTAGACAGAGTTCAGGTTGGAAATAAGAAACCATAAACTAACCATTTAATACAAGTTAATGCTTCTTTAATATTTTTATTCAGAACAATAAGGAATTTATATGAATAAAATTTGAGCATTGATGAAAATTTCTCTTATGACTGCAGTGAAAAACAGGAATGGCTCTTATAGACAGCAGAGACGGTCTTGAGTGTGCTATGAATATGTACTGAAACCTATGAGCAAACAGAAAGAAAATATAAATATTTTGTAGGTAAGAAGGTTGACAGATAACCTGGCATAGTAATGCTCCAAAGTTACGGTGAGCAACAGATACAGATTGGAGGCTCGCAATATGGGACTACCAAAATGGTAGCACTCTTTCATAGTGTTGTTTCTAGTCATCAGCAGTATGTGCATCGCCTCCTCCAGAATTATGCTTCGGAGAAAATATCACAAGCATCCCTGTGCTTTGTTGTTGTTGTTATTGCTCCTGTTGTAATTTAGAACTTGTTGCTTGAGTTAGAAATAGACTTTACAGCAATGATGTACTCACTAACTTACTTATGTAACTTCAACCCCCGCTGCTCATCACCATTTCAATAAAAATAAAATAAAAAGAATTTACATCATTGGAATATTCTTGTTCCCCTCTAGACCTTACTGTTGGTCCACAGCTACATCCAAACACAGATCATTGTATTATAATTCACATTCATTTTCAAGTCAACATAACTACAGAGTATGTTGTGATTATAAATGCTGTTTCAAACTTGAAATGCAAAAATATATGTCTCTGTTTATAAAATATTCATAAAATATTCCTATAAATGTATTCCATTTTCACAAATAATTTCAGGGTCAGACATAGAGGGCTGGATCTACTATTGCCTCCTAATATACATACCTTCTGAAAAATTGTAGGCACAAGAGAGACAAATAAGACATCTTATAAGCAGCCTTATAAAGCCAACTGTTTATAGCAAACCAAAAATTGCTTTCAGAGATGTGAGCGCTGATAGTTCAGTAGGATTCATGGGAGCACTGATCCAGCCCTTCTCCCCACGCCCTTGTGTCTTCCTGGTACACGGGGTTGAGTCAGCACCATTACTCAGGAAGAGTCTTGCGTTTTGTGGGGAATCAGGCCCAGCACGCAGGCATGCAGTCAATAGTCATGTCTCAGTTGCTTGGCTTAGGCAGTCCTTCTCCTCAGCCAAAGAACGCAGTTGCAAAGAATCATCTGCAAAAGTACAGAGCCAATTTAATTTGAATATTAATGCAGAAAGACAACCTGCCTTAGACAATGTGTTGACATCCAATAAATAGGCAGAATAAATAGGGTGTGAATTTACACCATTGTAGCATATGGAATTATACATATATGTGTATATATAGTACATGCATAACATATACATGTATACCTACATATATGTGCATACACGTATGTTTTAGAGGTAGAGATGGAGAGAGCTAATGAAAAGATATCATCCTATTACATTCCTTAAATTATTACAACAGGATAAAATAGTTGAAACAAATGCAGATTTTCAGATCTTTATAGAAAAGGTACGGAGGTGCTAGAATACCTAATTCAGTGTATGTGGATGGCAAATCAATAGTTTTTGTACCAAAAGCGCAGTTATTTTACCAAGTCCATAAGATCGAATGCCTTGCGTAGATAAACTCATTTTAAGGAACTTAAATGAATTTTGAGTTGGATAACAAAATAATTTGTAGTAATCACAATTATAGTCATGTCAAGCAGTGAATAAATTCTTTTATAGTAGGTATACCGATAAACCCCAAGTTATTTGCTCTGGAATATCAATTCAATGCCAGCAAGCCAATAACCATCATTCACTGTGAGACCAGTCCCATAGTGAGCCTTGGCCTGGGTGAGGGAGAGGAAGAGAGGAAGGGCACATCTCCCTCAACCTGTATTCTGGCCCCATCGGTGCTGCAGGTCTGAAAGGCTTGGTGGTCCTTCCTGGGTCTGAAAGACAGGCATCCCAATGTCAGCCCATCCCATCAGGATGTCAAACTCCCAATGAGAGACGGCAGGCTGTGATAGGATGCTCAGCAGGTAGATTCACAAGCACTTCTGTTTCTGCTTGCCTCAGGCTGAGTTTCTGGTTAGAGATCTGTGAAATGGTCCCCTCATCCACCATCTTGTGGGAATGTGTATCTGATACCTCTAGGTCTCGACTCAGGCTTTTCTTCTCTTTCCTTTTTCTTTTTAGGGAAATTTGAATTTTTCTTGTGTGGAGCCCTACACAGTCCCTGTCTTTTTTAATGCTACGAGTTACCTGGAGGTACCTGGGAGGCCTCACCAGGACCTGTTCTCGGTCAGTTTCCAGTTCAGGACTTGGAACCCCAACGGTCTCCTGCTGTTCAGCCACTTCGCAGATAATTTGGGCAACGTGGAGATCGACCTCACCGAGAGCAAAGTGGGAGTCCGGGTCAATGTCACGCACATCAGGATGAGCCAAATCGACATCTCCTCAGGTCAGTGAACTCGCCTCCTGGCCTGTCCCCAAGCAGCGTTTTGATGCTCAGAGCTTCATTGTGTTTAATCGGTGTTGCAAGTTCGTGATTCTACTGTCACTCAGATGCTTGAGTTCCTTGCTTGGTCGGGTGGTGTGCTGATTAACTAAGGGAAATGAGAATTTAGGAGAAGAAAGGGATTCATGATAACCAAGAATAGCTGAAAAGATTTGGGGATGTTGCTTCTCATTTAATAGAGAAATGGCTGTTGCTTGAAGGGAGCATTGTATGCTTCACATGAAAACCTCTTTATCACAGCATAACATGATCTGATATCTTGACCTTAAGGCCATTCAAACAACTTTGGCATATCAGTAACAGTATAACATGAATTTAATTGTAAGTTTAAAGGAATAGTCAACTTTTTGAACTACTAAAAATTTGTAAAGTGTCAGGAAATGAAAGAAGAAAAAGGTAAATACAAAGTGGGATGCCTATATTGTACATCAAGTATGGGATTACTGGCTTGACTAAGCAATATCATGGTGGAGAGGACAGTACTGGGTATGAACTCAGGACCTCTGGCTCCCTGGTGGCATTTTCACTCAAGACCAACACTGTGCCACTGGACTAACAGTTGGGCTTTAGGACATTTGCTGGTCCAATGGAGAGGAGTCTCACAGACCTCTCTGTCTGGGCTGGCTTTAGATCATGATCCTTAGATCTCAGCTTCCTGAGCAGAGAGGCTCAAGCATAAGGAGAGATGTGAGGAGCGGAGGATTAGATAATGGGATTAGATAATGACAGATGAGACTTGGTGGCACCAGAACTTGCTTTGATCACATCAACACAATTGAAGTATGATATTACCAATTGAAGTATGATATGAAGGCATAATTGGTACATGTGAGATGGGACTTATAAATACCAAGAATGGCCCCAAATTTCTCTAGATATTCCTTGCTGTTTTCCACCAAGTGTTTCTAGGTGTTTTTATTTTGTGAAGAACAATTTAGGAATAGGACAGAAAGAACTAACCTTTACTGAGCATTTAGTACACAGCAAATAATGAGAGAGAATATTACAGTGGAAAGCTCAATTGTACACATGTGGGCTTTGGTTTCTAGTATCGTGGTTGCTGCACACATATCTGATACCAACTCCAACACATGAGAAACTCTGCTCGCCACATCTTCCTCTTGAATGTGAACACTGTCAAGGCAGAAGCCAGCCTTTCCTTTCTCTATCACTATCCAGCATAACTTCACTAGAGAAGGCAGTCCAATAATAGTTATCAAGTTCAGTTCCCTTGCTCTTTTAACTGGTTGGTGCTCAACCACAGAATTTCTCCTGGTGAAGGCTTTTGTTTTCTTGTAAAATGGGTTCTGTGCTAGTGTGCCTGTGTGTGTGTGTGTGTGTGTGTGTGTGTGTGTGTGTGTGTATGTGTGTGTGTGTGTGTGTGTATGTGTACTTCACTGAGAAGAAATGAAGAAGTGTGGTTCTCTCAGAGGTATGCCTGGATATTTTTTTATTTACATTTTTTCATTGTAAAGATACTGTACAGAGGGGTTATAGTCACATGAGTAAGGTAATGAGCACATTTCCTATGGAACATTTTTAACATAGTGTCTTGGACATCTCGTTGTTACAATGGGTCAACCCGTATCCATGGTTCAGCATTTTGTTATTTCCCTTCCCCTCCCCAAATTAGCAAAATATATATACAAGATGTAGTATGCCTGGATTCTTGAAATTGAACTGTGAACAACTTTGATATTCATTGTCTCTGAGTTTGTTAGTTATGAGTTACCTGTGAGTTTGTTAGTTACCCAAAATGACGATAAACTATATGTTGTCATTTCTTTCCTACATAAGCTCACCCAGAAAGATATATAGAAGTAAGAAAATCTGTAGAGACTAAATAAGATAAACCAAATACACACAGAAGATTTACACAGTTGAAGAACTCCTGACTGCTGGGATTAAAGGATCTTTTCTAGTGACTAAACACATGAAATCATTCCTTATCTTCCCACCTGACAGTCTCTAGTAAACCCAAACTAGCTGGTGGGGTCTCATGTAACATGAGCCATTATTTTTGAAATGATAAAATCTAAACCTAATGATTAAAGCACTTATTCATTTGATTTGGCCTTATTTAGGACTGTTTTCTAGCTGAAGCTATGCCTTAAATACTTTAAAAAATTTATTGTAAAGGTGATGTACAGAGGGGTAATAGTTACATGTCAGGTAATGAGTACATTTCCTTCTGAATGGTGTCATCCATTCCCTTGTTCTCTCCCAGTTTTCATAAACAAATTAGCCAAGGAATCAATTTGTGACCACTAGTTCACCTAAATGATTTGCCTAAATATAATAAAAATAGACTCTAGAAGATTTGTCAGTTTAGTCTATTTGTAAACACTGTTCATGTTTAAGGGAAGTAGCACATGTAGAAACACATTCATTAAAAATACAACATATGGACAACCATTTTATTTGCATTTTATCCAATTTGTAAAGACAAATAATAGTATAATATATAACATATAATATATAGGTAATGTATAATAATTGGTAAATACATATAATACAGAAAATAACCACTGCATGTTACTTGGTTTTAGAAATAGCTTGGTTACAAAATATTTATGAGCATGCAGGCAATCTGAAGGAGAAATATACATACTAGTTGTATCCTTGCCAAGTAGCACACTGACTGGTTCAACAGAGAATAGAGTTGTACTTTGGTCTTGATTTCAGTTAATCTTTGTTTCAAGATCAAGGTAACTTAATTGATTCCTAGTCTTTTTTTGTCTGTGATGATTGGGTCTGGGAAGGATGGGTAGCATAATCAAAGGGGTGGCATGGATCAAGATACATGGTACTTATAATTGGAGATGCTTGCTGGAACCCTCTGCACACTATAAACCTTGTTTGTTTTCTTAGTGTTGTTCTTGGGAACTGGTCTAGCACTAACTTACAAATAAGAGAGGATTTACTGTGTGATCCATGTTTCCCTTATACACGTACCTTCACGCTCAGGTTATTTTCCAATTGTTTCTTCTGTCAAGGGCAGCGGACTCAGTTAAATATTTCATCAAACTCCAAGTAAACTCAACTTTGCACTGTTGGTGATGTTTCTCTGAAGATACTTTCTAAGTTGCAAAATCAAGTTAAATAATATTTCACTATATTTAGGATAGTGTTTACTGACTTACCAATGCATAATTATGTATTACTTTTTAAAATAAGAAATAGGGGGGAAATAAGATGATAAATAGGGTCAAAGGATCAAAAGATAACAAGAAGGGGATGTTTCTTATTGATTCTTTAGAATCCTGCAGAAGATGGATCTAGAACTGATCTTTCCAAAGGATTTTCATCCAAACACAGCAAGAAAACAGGTTCCACCCAAGATCAATTGCTATCTATGTGTCCATATATATGTATATATAATTTATATAAATGAATATAGATGAGTAATATATATGATTTTTATATACATATATTTATCCAAGTAAATGATATATGTCATACATATATATGATTTTGGGGGGGGTTGAATGATGATGATCCTGCAGTTTGAACTCAGTGCCTGAGTGCTGTCCCTGAGCTCTTCTTACTCAAAACTAATGTTCTACCTCTTCTGACTTTTTAAGGGTTAATTGGAGATGAATCTCTTGGGCTCAAATTTGGCTTTGAATGGCAATTCTCAGATCTCAACCTCTGGAGTGGCTAGGATGGTAGGTGTGAGCCTCTAGCACCCAGTTACCTGAGTACTTTAAAAATAATACAGTAAGTGTAATATTTTCCCTTCTCTTTATTTCCCCATTGATAACATTGGCATATTCCTCCATCATGGTTTTATGCCCATGAAGCACCAACCTACAAATTTGTGTTGATATTTTTAAAGTTTTAGTTGACTAGGGTTTTTTAATCCATCATTCCATTTGGAAAACCAAATGTGTCTTTTGAGGTTTTTTAAAGTCTTACAATAGCATAAGCATTAACATGTATTACTCTCTGCTGTTTTACTGAAAACAAAAGACTGACCTACCATCTATAGTAAAGTTTTCATTGCTAAATGCTTCAATTTTATGCGACCAAAACCAGACAAATATTTATAATAATAAATTTATAATAATTTTAATAAGGTTCTAAAATGTGATTCAGCATGCATCTAATGGGGAATATGTAATTTCTATTAATGTCTTATCTCACCTATTGGGAAAACGAATCAATTCCCATTGATTTTCCCTTACGCAAACAAAGCCTTTCAGAAAAGTCACTCTGAATATATCCTAGTCCAGGATCAATGGTGTAGCTAAGTCTGAGCGCTTGGTTTGTTTATGTCACCATTATTTCAATTTTAGGAGAATGACTTGGCATCTAAAACTGCTCAGAAATCCTCAGCTTGGCAAAGATCGTCGTTGTTTGTATTTCTGTCTCCAAAGAAGATCCTCAGTGGCCTTGTTTCATTGACTTTTGTTTCTTAGTAAAATTTCTTTGCAAAGCTCCACTTTCCACCTGTGTCAGGAGAGGCGGATATTCTGTTGGTTTAGATGAAGCTGGGGCATGCACTGGAAAACACTGACAAGCCAGTCCCATCTGAACAGGTGCAGTTTTTTGGAACTGTCTCTTGACACCGTCTGTCCTAAACAATAGAATATCCCTTCCCGGAATTGTATAAACTTTTTAAGAAAGTAGTCAGGTGTAATCCTGCCACTGTAGAAGGCTAGGCAGGAGGATCATGAGTTTTAAGCCAGTGTGAGCTACGAAAAGAGATAAGGACTCATCTCTTTCTAGTTTGAAGCCAGCCCAAGCAGAAAAGTCCATGACGCTTATCTCCATTCAACTCCTCAGAAAAAGCCAGGAGTGGTACTGTGGCTCAAAATTGTAGAATGCTAGCCTGGAGCAAAATAAGCTCTGTGACAGAGTGCAGGCCCAGAGTTCAAGCCCAGGACTGACAAAAATAAATAATTAATTAATTAAGAAACTAACAACAAAAACTAGCTAAT